TGTTGAAAAGACTGCCTTTTCTTCCATTGAATGATCTTGACACCCTTGTCAGTATTATTTGGCTGTATACATATCAGGGTTCATTTCTGGGCTCTTTTTTGGGGGGTAGTGSTGCTAGGGCTTGAACCCAGGAGCACTAAACCACTGAGCCACATCCCCTGCCCTTTTAGTGTTTTAGAGACAGGGTCTCACTGAATTGCTTAGTGCCTAGGTTTCTGAGATTAGCTTTTTAAAAAATGTTTTGTTAGTTGTAGATGGACACAATACCTTTATTTTATTTATTTATTTTTATGTAGTGCTGGGGATCAAACCCAGTGCCCCACACATGGTAGGCTTGTGCTCCACCACTGAGCCACAAGCCTCTGGGATTACAGGCATGCACCACTGTACCCAGCTGAGTTCTTAATTCTGTTCCATTGGTCTGTATGTCTCTCTTTATACCATTACCATACTATTTTGATTACTATAGTTTTATAGTAAGTTTATAAGTTAGAAAGGGTGGGTCTTCAAGTTTTATCATTTTCCAGGATTGTTTTGGCTATTTGGGGGTCCCTTGAGATTTCATAAATTTTAAGATGGGTTTTTTGTTTGTTTCTGCAAAAAACTTTTGAATTTTAGTGTTTCCTTTCTGATTTGGTTGCCTTTTCATTTCTTTTTCTTGCCTAATTCCATTGTCTAAGACTTCCAGTACTGTATTAAATAGAAGTGGTTAAAAGCAATTGCATCCTTATCTTTTTCTTGATCTTCGAGAAAAACCTTTCAGTCTTTTACCATCGAATATGGTGTTTGCTGTAGGTTGATTTATACATATTGAGGTAGTTCCCTATTCCTGGCTTGGTGAGTGTTTTTGTTGTAAAGGGTGTTAGATTTTGTCAAATGCTTTTTCTATATTGAGTATGAGGATCATGTATTTTTTTTTGTGACTGATTTTTATATATTCAACTCTCCTTGAATTACATGAATAAATTTTATTTGTGCATTGTCTGAAATCCTTTTAATATGCTGCTTAATTCAGCTTGCTAGTATTTTGTTGAAGATTTTTACATCAGTCTTAATGAAAGATATTGGTCTACAGTTTTCTTGTATTGTCTCTTTCTGGCTTTATTTTGAGGGTAATGCTGGCCTCATGGAATGATTTGAAGTTCAAGAAGGATTGGTGTTATTTCTTTAAATGTTTGGTAGAATTTACCAGAGAAGTATCACACCTGGGAATTTTTTGTTTGTTTGCTTTTGAAGATAGTCTTGCTACATTGCCCAGGCTGCTGTCCAATCCTGGTCTCAAGCAACACACTCACCTCAACCTCCCAAGTGGTGGGATGCAAATATAGACCACTATGCCCAGTAGGAAAATTTTTTTTTTTTTATTTTTTAAAGAGAGAGTGAGAGAGGAGAGAGAGAGAGAGAGAGAGAATTTTTTTTTTAATATTTATTTTTTTTTAGTTCTGGGCGGACACAACATCTTTGTTGGTATGTGGTGCTGAGGATCGAACCCGGGCTGCACGCATGCCAGGCGAGCGCGCTACYRCTTGAGCCACATCCYCAGCCCCCAGTAGGAAATTTTTGATTACCAAATCAGTCTCCTTACAGGTGTAAGTCTGTTGAGATTTTTCTCTCTCTCTCTTTCTTTTTCTTCTTTCTTTCTTTTCTTTCTTTCTTTTAGATGGGGGTCTTGCTATGTTGCCCAGGCTGGCCTTGAATTTGAGATTCTCTAACAGGCTCCTGAGTAGCTGGGATTATGGACATGCACTACCCACACCCAGTTTGAGATTTTCTAGTTCTTTGTGGTTTAATCTTGGTAGATTTCATATTTCTAGGAATTTACTTATTTTATYTAAGTTATCCAATTTGTTGGYATATGGTTGTTTATAGTGTTCTCATGTAATTTAAAAAAATTCTGTAGAATTGGTAGTAATATCTGTGCTTTTATTTCTGATTTTAGTAATTTGAGCCTTTAAATTTTTTTTTCTTGGTCCATTTAGCTACAGGTTTGTCAATTTTGTTGATATTTTCAGAAACCAGCTATTAGTTTCAATATATATCTCTAAAAGATAACTCTTGCGGCCATGAAAGTGATTCATGGTAGAGTGCTTGCTTGGCACTGTGAGGCCCTGAGTTCGATTTCCCAGTATCACAAAACAAACAAACAAAACTCAAAAAAAAAAAAAAATTTGCAAGCCGGGTGCAGTGGTGCATGCCTATAATCCTAGCGGCACGGGAGGCTAAGGCAGGAGGATCACAAGTTCAAAGCCAGCCTCAGCAAAAGTGAGGCACTAAGGCACTAAGCAACTCGGTGAGAGACCCTGTCTCTAAATAAAAATATAAAATAGGGCTGGGGATGTGGCTCAGTGGTCAAGTGCCTCTGAGTTCAATCCCCAATACCAAAAAAAAAAAAAAAAAGCATGCAAACTATCCTACCTAAACAAAATTGGCAATATTTATCTAGATCTCCCAACTTATTTACCTATTTTATTGTTATTGCTCTTATTTCTTCCTGCATGTCTAAACTTCTATTTAGGTTCATCTTGTCCTGGAGATTTTTTTTCCCCCTGTACTAGGGATTAAACCCAGGGCCTTGGGCATGCTAGGCAAGTGCTCTCCCACTATCTTTGGTTTTCAAAAGTTTTACTAGGATAGCCTATGTGTAGTTTTCTTTGTATTTCTCCTACTAGGGATTCACAGGGCATCTTGAATCTGTAGTTTTATTTGTCAGTTTAGGAAAGTCTCAGATATTATCTCTTAAAATATTAACTTTTGCCCTAGTTTTCTCTTCTCTCCTAGGACTCAGTTACATGCTGTTAGATAAAACTATGCATGCGTTGTTTAATTCCTGTGTGCTTTTTTCTGGTTATTTTCTTATTACTGTCTCCAAGTCACCATCTCCCTCTTCAGCATGATTTACTGTTAAATTCATATACCATACTGAAATTTTATTTTTGATAATTTTTAGTTTTTTACTTCTAGAATTTTTGATTCCTTTTTTACATATTCTTGTTTTCTACTGAAACTCTTAATTTTGTTTTTTACCTTAAAACGTATTAAATATTTTACTTGAACATTTAAAAATCTATGTAAGATGTTTACATGGTTTGGAGACACTATAGACAGCTTTAATTTTCTCATGTTTCTCTGTTTTTATTCATTTCATTTTGTCTGTTTGTCTATCTGGTTATTTTTGGCGATCAGATACTCTTTATCAGAAATTGTAGAAATATTCGCTGGCATAAATCCTGTGTGGACGAAGAAGTTTGCTTTTGGCAAGCAGCAAGCACACTAGCCACCAAGAATCACTTTAATTTCAGGTACTGAGAGGGTGCTGGCTTGCTTACATGGTATAGATAGTTCTTTAGGTCTCAACCCACAGTATGGATGATTTACCAGTGTGTCCCCTTCCCCTATCAGTGACTAGATTATAACTTTTGACTCACTAGCCATATAAGACTATTAGAACACTGTTCTACTTCTCAACCTTCTAGTCACATGTCTTCCCAAATCAGTAGGTTTGTAAGGGAAAAGAAACCACAAATCCTGGGACCCTTCTTCTGGATTTTCTTTATCTCCTAGAACTTGATTTTTAAGTTCTTATAGTCTGGTTAAAACCAATGCCTTCCAGAGATTTTGAAATATTTTATCCATTTTCTGTAGTTGCTCTCAATAGAAGGGTTGGTCAAAATACCTAGTCCACCTTAGTTAAATTAAAAAGTCACCCTGATTATTTCTGCTAACTTTATATTTCTGTTTACAGATCGAGGCAATGACAACTGGCTGATTAAATATGACTATCCAATGGATAGTTCTGGCTCTCGGGTAAGAGGTTGGTCTATATCTCAAAGAAGAGCATGAAAAGGAATATCTTTATAGTACATAAGCACACAGTATTGTCATATAAGTTTAGAAGAATTGGGGAAGAACAAGGCTTTAAAATAATAGGTTAATATTTGGTATAGTTTTTCTCAGTGTGTTTTTTTTTAATATTTTTTTTAGTTGTCAATGGACCTTTATTTTATTTATTGATTTGGGGTGCTAAGAATCGAACTCAGTGCCTCACACATGCTAGGCAACCGTTCTGCCACTGAGTCCCACCCCCAGCCCTCTCAGTGTGTTTTAAGGATCATCCTACTAATTTTAATAGGAATAGCATGAGAAAAGGACCAAGTAAGTTTGGAACATAGATGGAACACATTCTGTTCCTTTGAGTTTCACATTGCATAGTAGTATAGAAAAGGTCTGAGAAGTATTGTGTGAAACAAACCTGTTTAATTTTGTTTGGTCCCGTGATTACACCCTTTTCAAACCATGGAACATTTTTTCACAATTGACCATCATTCTACAGAACTAAGTTTAGAAACTGCTGCTTCTGTACCTTTCTTTCTCTCCTGTTCCTTTCATCCTCTGCTACTCTTCTCCATCACTATTTTGTCTACATGTCTTTTAAAAGTAGCAGGAAGTTTCTCTCTCTCTCTCTCTCTCTCTCTCTCTCTCTCACTCACTCACTCACTCACTATTATCGGGGACTGAATACATGAATTTCCACATGCCAGGCAAAGTGCTTTACTCTGAACTAACTTCCAGCCCTGGTTTCTTTTTTTTTTTTTTTTCCTATTTGCAATACTGAGACTTGAGCCCAGGGGCTTGCTACTATTGAGCTACATCCCCAGTCCTTTTTAAATAATTTTTTAATTTTTTTAAATTTTGAGGCAGGATCTCATCTCAATAAGTTGTTGAAGTTAGCCTGTAACTTGTGATCCTCCTTTCTCCTCCTCCCGAGTAGCAGATGTGTACAATCACACCTGGCCCCAGTTTTTATTTCTCCTGGTGGTTTTATTTCTTTCTCTCACTGGCTCCAAAAGTTTATGCCTGAATTATTAGAAGAGTTGTAGTTCAGTGGTTGARCACCTTTCTAGCTTATATAAGGCTCTGAATTTGATCCCCAGCACTGCAAAATAAAACAAAACAAAACAAACTAAAATAGTACATTCCTCAGGCCGTTACCTCAGAAATTGATTCATCAGGTATAGGGCAAAACTTGGGATTCCACACTTAAAAAATAAGGGATTTGATGCAGTGTCTAGGAACCACAGTCCCTATTCCTGTGATGGCAACGGTGAACCTAAAGTATAGAGCCACATAGTGAGTGTCCCTATCATGAGCTGTCACAGGTGGCCTGCCACTTTTTCCATTTAACTGTGGTCCTTTTCTTTTTTATGTATCATTGAAGCAGGAGAATAGACTTCTTTGTGTAAGAAAAGCCAACTGTCATCTTCTGTGGATCTGAAATTTCACTAGAAAATTTGGTCATCACCAGTGAAATGGCATTTGAGTCTAAGTCCACTAAAAAGGTCTCTGGCCACCTGAAGTGGACTTTTCTTCTTTTCCATTTAGTGGATTCTCAGTGCCTATCTTTAGGAGAATTGTCATATGATTATCTTAGTTTTGGTCATTATCTTTTCCTATGATAAGAAGGGAACACAGAGAACTTGATCAAGCAGAGTCTGAGGTGCCATAAATGTACCAGGTTCAGGTAACAGTACAGAAACCAGCTCAGAGAATGGCTCCAAATAATTTGAAGAAGGATTGGTGTCTGAGTTGAGTGAGATGGGTTGCTTTGCTACTACCCTACAGGGTCTGAGGCAGATGGGATTTCTCACTAACTAGTCTTTCCTTGCTCTGCAGGATACAGACTGGGTGGTGGTAAAGGAACCTGTTATCAAGGTGGCGGCCATAGACAATGGGCTGGCTTTCCCACTGAAGCATCCTGACTCTTGGAGGGCATGTAAGTCTTAAGAACACTGGTCTGGCTTTTCCCTTGCTCAGTCTCAGTTTGCTTACTGTACAGTGTAGATAATAATACCTCTATTATAGCACCATTCTAAGAATTAGTGAAATAATGCATCTCAGCCTTTAATACAATGGCAGCTGTTCCATAATGTAAATTATTATTAATTTTTACTTATATTATTCTCGCTGGAGGCATATGGGTGATTAAAAATTAGAAACAGAGAGTTAGGGGTATAGTTACATGGTAGAGTACTAGCACAAGGCCCTGGGTTCAATCTCCCACACCCCAAAAAAAGAAAGAAAAGAGAGAGAGAAGAGAAATTAGAAGCACAAAGATGAGTTTTTTCATGTCCACTTTGCATGCTTCTCATTCTTTTGTAGAACTGAGAACTATCTTTTTATGTTTTATTCTATTTGAGTCACTATAGCAGCTGCCAGTGTCTGGTCTTACTTATTGATATCTTCCTTATTGATTATAAGTAAGAAGCTTTTGGAAAGGGGGAGAAAAAACAAGTAGGGAGTCACTGTCCCCTTTGTAGCACTTGTCTTCATTTTCAGACCATCTTAATCTCTCAGGGTGGGTAGTTGCTTCTCTACCGTCTTTTATCATGTAAGGGCACAAAATGTCTAGGAAAGAGCTCCAGGATTAGGCAGATCTGGGTTTGAATCCTGGTTCCTGTACTTAGTGTCCATACAACCTTTATGGTTAATAACATTTGTAAGTATTCTTTTTTGTTATGTATCAGGGAAGAGGGGTTCTGTCTTTGAAAGTGCCCTGATAGAAGACAGAAGATGAGCAGGGACTTTTCCAGTCACCAGCTTTGGTTTTGACCTTTCCTTTTTTCAGATCCCTTTTACTGGGCCTGGTTGCCCCAGGCAAAAGTCCCATTCTCTCAGGAGATCAAAGATCTGATTCTTCCAAAGATATCAGACCCTAACTTTGTCAAAGACTTGGAGGAGGACCTATATGAACTCTTCAAGGTAAGCCCTGGGAACCTCAACCTGGTTACATAAAGAAGACATTTCTGATGGTTTATCTGATTGGTCCTGACAAAGCCAAGAGGAAATGGCTAATACCCTCTGACTTGAGTTAGCCAGAAAAAGCAAGTTCCCACATATGGACAGCAGAACCTGGTTTGAATGGGTTTGAAAGAAATGTACAGTGGTGGTAGATCACATTAGTGTGTACTGTGTACATCATGTGGCTCCAACATATCCACAGAGCTCTTGTTTCCAAATGGAACACTGGAGCCCAGAGTTTGAGATGGAAAACTAGATGTTTTCTTGTTCTCTGTTTCTCATCTGTAAAAGCAGGAGTTCACAGAGTGCTAGTTGACTTTACCAAGCCCAGTAACCCTTATGTGGACTCACTTTATTAGAAAGTTTCTAACTGGGAAAGAAAATAGGTTCCTATGAGGCATTTACACATTTCCTCTTTCCCTTCTTTTACAGAAAGATCCTGGTTTTGATAGGGGCCAGTTCCATAAGCAGATTGCTGTCATGCGGGGACAGGTAAGCCTGCACCATCCTCCAGATTCTTATGTGCTTATGTGTTCATCTGAGCAAATGTATAAAACTTGTGTTTTATATACTTTTCAGTCTGTGCCATACATGTTTGTGACTATGTCCAAACACATGAGAGAAGAAAGGTAGTACCGTCCAATCTCCAACTTCTTCCATGGGATCCAGTGCTTGCTGAAGCACTCATTACAGGCATATCTCTGTGCCAGTTGCTGGGTAAATTATTGGTAAATAAGCCAGTGCTCCCTGTCTTCAAGTTGCTCAAGACAGGCCATATACCTTGGTGGTTAAGAGCTGGTATGTGCAGTCAGATCACCTCACCACTTACAAGCTCTCGGATCTTGGGCAAGAGCCTCTGTTTTCTTGTTTATAAAATAGGTTAGCAAGAATACTTTGCACAATTGGACAGAGGATTGCCTGAGATAATGCATGTCAAGCAATAAGTAAAAATAACACTTGGCACATGGTAAGCACTCTCACGTTGACTGTAGTTATAACATTTTTGAGTTCAAGTTGTATTATGCCTTGCCTTCCACTTTCACCTTCAAAGGGAGCCACAGAAACTCAGGGCATTATTAATCTTCCAGAAGCATAGTAAAAAATATGTTTGAACAATGATTTGAAAGCTCTGTAGGGCACTGGCATCATGCATATCACTTTGAAGTCCTTAAAAGGACTTCTGGGATGGCCTAGGAGTTAAGGGCACAAACCAGTTAGACTGCTTGGGTTTGATGCCTTGCTGTGCCATTTACTACCTATGAGGCCAACCTGGGCACATTCCTTAATGTCTCCTTCACTTCATTTCTCCATTTGTGTCATGGAATTAATGAATAATTATTTCATTATGGTTATTATGAGACAAATTATTTGAAATAGGTATAGTAGTACTTGGAGTACTCAATACATGATAGCTATTATAATTATGATTTTATATATAGAAAGTTAGCTTCTCACATCTTTAAAGGATAGTATGATTCTCCCAGACATAATCTTACATTTACTTCTTCCTACCATTTAGCTAAGGGCTTTTGCTGAGAGCACCTCTTGGGCTCATTGAGTCCATTTTCCCTGAAAATGAAATGGTTGAAGAACTGTTATTATTATAGTTGTTCGAAAACTGTAATGTGGTCTTCCTAGCTTTCCTAAGTAAAGTTAAGACCTAATTAGGCTGGCAGAATCAAAGTCACCTCCCTCAAAGTCACCTTAAAAATCACGATTTACTCTTGTCAGAGAATTCAATGTAAAAGAATAAGCTTGTTTCCCAAGCTTATGTAGGATGTGCCTCCATCCATATTGCACCAACTTCTCCAGTCCCTTCCCAACCCAGTCCCTTGCCAACAGCATAGCAATCCTCCTCCCATTATACCCAACTGGGGCCATTATTCAAGGTAGCAAAAGGTAGGGGAGATTGTGGGGAAGTGCAATTTTATCTTTTTCTGTATCTTATGCTTTTAATGTCTTCAGAGTGGCTTTTGTCATAACTATCAGCTGAAAAAGCACCAGGCTATAATATAAGCAAAGGAAGTACTTATTCAAGAATAGGAATCACAATTTGTACACACAACCAAGGGCAGACCTAAAGTATGTTCCAGCAAGGGACAGAGGAGGGGAAACTTTTAAGGAATCAAGCAGAAAGGTAGTCAGATCTTTCATTACATACTTTGAAACTTTGGTTTTGTTGACAGGAGGCTGAAGGTATAAAATTATAGGACCAGGCTGTGTCATAGACCTGAGGAGACTGTCTTATAAAATCAGGAATCTTACTCAGCCAATTCACCTATCAAAATGATAGTCAAGGACTGGAAATGTAACCCAGTGGTAAATAGTATGATTAGCTTGCAAAAGGCCCAGGGTTTGATCCCTAGTACCACATTAAAAAAAAAAAAAAAAAAAAAAAGAGACAAGTTGAGTCTGGTTTAAGCAAGTTTCACATAACTAAGTACCTATTCCTTAACACTGTAAGGTTCTATAAGCATCTAGTTTCTCCCAACATGCAAGAAGTCATTCACACCTGTACTTGTCTGCTGTTCACATACCAAAGCAAAATGAACCTCTACCCCATAGAAATCTGAAATAGAACAGGGAAAAGAGGTCACAAACCTGTCTATTTAACTGAGCTCTCCCCACCTCTGAGTCATCATCACTATTTTTACTAAATGGAAGGGCAAAAAAATAGGGGAGGTATTTGTTTTCATTTTTTTTAAATTGGGATGGATCTCACTATACTGCCCAGGCTTAAACTATTGGACTCAAGTAATCCTTCTGCCTCAGCTTCCTGAGTGCTGGGACTTTAGGCACGGGCCAGTGTGCCTGGCTTTTCATTTGTATTTTTAAAATAACTAGAGAGGTTACCATTTTCTGTTTGTTGTCCCTTTGTATTTCTACTTTTATAGTCTACTTGTATGATTTTCCATTGGTGTATTTATTTTTTATTTTTATTATTTGGTATTGGGGATTGAACCCAATGGGAACTTTACCACTGAGCTAGATCTCAAATCTTTTTATTTTTTATTTTGAAATAGGGTCTTGCTAAGTTGCTTAGGGTCTTGCTAAGTTGCTGAGACTGCCCTCAAACTTTCAATCCTCTTATCAGCCTCCCAAGTTGCTAGGATTACAGGTGTGAGCCAAGGCACCTGTTGGTGTGTTTATTTTTTATTGATTTATAGGAGTGCTCTGTCTGCTGGCCTGTCTGCAGAGGAAGATCTGGAATCCTAGGCCTCTCTCATCTGTCTCCTTTTTCCCACTGCAGATCCTAAATCTGACCCAGGCCCTGAAAGACAACAAGAGTCCTCTGCACCTCGTCCAGATGCCACCTGTGATTGTTGAGACTGCCCGATCCCACCAGCGGTCTGCTAGCGAGTCCTACACACAGAGCTTTCAGAGTCGGAAGCCCTTCTTCTCATGGTGGTAGCCCTAGAGGCAGGCAGAGGAAATGCTGTGTGAGACATGGGCTGGGAGGAAGCCTGGGAGCTGGGTACAAGGAAGCCAGAGAAGCCTGTGGAGAGCAGCCTTTACCAGTCCTCCCTCTCTGCTCAAAGTCACCTCCCTCAGGGATTTCTCACCCACAGGGAGAAGCACAATCAAGGACCAGAGTGCTCTTGGGCCCTTCTGAGGGGAGGCTGGAGTTCCAGGCCAGAAGTCCAGGTGGCTAGAAGGAGCACCTCCCTTCCAGCATCTCCTGTGGCAGGCTGGGAAAGTCCCTACCTCCCTGACACCCTGCTCCTTTGTAATTCCCTATTATATTCTGCATCAGAAAACAACAACAAAAACAAATTTAAATGCTTGTAGCAGAACCCAGATCCTCTCATGTCATAAGCCTTTAATCCAGACCTAAATTTGCATAGACCCAGACATTCAGGTGCCTGGCAGTTGCTTACTCCAATGAACCAAGGCTGTGTTACAGGGCCACTGGGTGGCTCCTAGTTTTGGGACAGACAGAAGCCACAGCTTCCTTTTGGGTTTTTGCCAAATCTTTTCCTTCTCTTCCTACTGGCAGTAGGCTGGCTTCTTGTGGTGCGCAGGATTTTGCTCTGCAGCTCTCAGTGATTCTGCACATGACCTACAGAACCTCTCTGCTCTCTGCCCTGATGCAGCTTGCCTGTTACTCAAGCAGAGGCATGAGGGGCTACTCTTAGAATTTCTGTTTTAATAGAAAGTTGATGTCCAGCACGTGATTGTGATCCATATGGCCTAGGTACACACTGGGAGCTATAAGTGGCCTATGGGTGAATTTTCCCAGCCTTGCTTCCTGAATCCTTAGTGCCAGTCCTCCTCTAATTTGTTGTTTTAAATATTTCCCTCTAGCTTTTTTGGCTTAGGAGTTCTGTTCAGGTTGTAGAATGGATTGTTCTGGGGTGGTCTCAGCTCATAAGAGGACAGGATATCATCAGGTCCTTGGACTTCTTTATGTGCTCCCACTGCTGCTTGTATTGGCAACCAGACTTGCATTCTGCCTCCTAATTGGCAGTTTCCCTTTTCTCCCTGGCTTATTATCCTGGATTTGTTTGTCCCTGGCTTCTTGAGAAAGGCAAGGCCCAAAGCAGAAAGGTCTTCAAACTGTCCCCCAGTGCCTGCCCAGCTCAGTGTGCAGCTTCTTGCTTTTATGTGTCTTTTCCCCAGCTGCCCTGCTTGCCAGGTGTTCAAGCCCTTTCTACACCAAAGCAAAGAATGGCCTCAGGAGGGAGTAAAAAGGTGTCACCTGTGGTGAGGGGCAGCTGTGTTCATGTGCTATGGACACTTTGTGGTTCTAGCACCCTGCGATTGGTCAATCAGCCTTGGAAAGTATTTTGAAGGTTTGAAAAACAACCAAAGAAAGGGAGTGAGGACTATGGCTGTGTGCACTCTGCTTGAACAGCTCCTACCATCCAGGATACAARGCAAAGACATGCAGCCCTCCTGTCAGTTGGGCTAGGCCACTTCCCATCCCTTCCAGCCCCCCAGGAACCAGCTTGTCCTGGGCTTCCACCAGCTGACAGGAAGGTCTCAGTGCTAGATATGCATGCCCTGAGGACAAAGGCACCACTCCCCTGCCTGCCCTGCCCTGACAATCCCATCTAGCCCACCTGGACTCTGGCCTTGGGAACCAGGTTTGAGAGAATACCTGCCTCCTGACCACAGGAGCCAGCAGGGACCCAGTGTGGGTATCCCTCCACAGAAAAGACGTCTTCATGCAAACATGCTGGCAAAACTCCTTACCTGGGTGCCTGGGAGAGCCAGAGGCACCTGAAGAGGAGCCTGGTACTTTACCAGCTACATCTGTACTGTCCTGCTTCAGACCAGCTCTGCAGTCAGGAGGAAATTGGGTCCAATGTAAAAGGGAGCCAGTCCCAGGTCTGGAAGGCAAGAGTGCAGGGCATCYTTTCCTGGCCGGTCTCCTCTCTCCCTTGAAGCCTATACTCAGGCTGCCTTGAATGTGGACTTTGGGAGAGCTAGGGGCCTTGAGTGCCGGGGCAGGCTTCTGGTGGCACTCTCAGAATGGCCTATCTCTCTGCCAGGCATAAGCCTGTCCCCCCAGAGGGAGTGGAGGCTGGGCTATGAGAGTGCTGTTGCCCCCATTATCATTCTTCTAATGCACTGTAGAAATTGTATGTAATGTATTTAAATCAATGCAAATGTATGAATAACAAATCCAATTCTGACCTTTTTTGTCCAGTTCTCTTTGGGGGAAGGAAGACAAAGAAGGTAGAATGCAATTTTAAGGACAAAGAAACCTATGTTTCCATGGAGTTGCAGAGACATGGCTGCTGGGGCTCTTTTCCCCTAGTAGAGCTTCCTTACAGGTCTTTCACTTCCACAGTTCCAGTGCTTGGAAAACCAAAAGTATTTTCATGACTCATTTCAAAACCTTACTTGAGCCTATATTGATATGATGCTATTATTATTCATATGTATCTCTTAGTGTGAATATTTGTTGCAGAAATGTTATTCCCTTTTATGAGATTTTATGGTCCTTATTAGGGACCATATTTTCCCTATTTCCGAAAAAACAAAAACATTTTGTATGTCAAAATCATCTAGCTCCAGGGCTTTGGAATAAGAAGTGGATTATGCTTAAGTGAGAGTGGCTTTTCTTCTTGGCCACCAGAGGGCAAGCCTGCCCTGTGTATATACCATTGCCCCATTCAGCCCTGACCCGGAGTGATGGATGATCTAGCTTGTGGGATAGGGAAGGGGAAGAAGAAACTAATGAACACATAGACTGCCTGCCAAAACCATCCTGTCCCTCTCGGGTCCCATGGCCTTGGAAGAACAAGGCTGTGTCATAGGAGCTTCAGGGAATGGGGTAAGAAGGCAGTARAGGCCAACCCTGATTCCTCCCTCCTGGGGAACTTCTGTCCCTCCCTCTCTGGCTTCAGAGTCTCCATTTCAGGATTCTCCCCCTCCATAACAGACTCACACAGTTCTTGATGCAAGTGTTTTTATTTGCCGCTTAAACCATGGTTTTCTTATGCTGGCCTGACAGCATCAGGGATTTAGGACAGGCTGCTGGACTATGAGTGACAGTAGTAGCCAGCAGATTAGGGCAGACATGGTGAGGTGCTGCATCTGAGTGCCTGTTTGATTTCCAAGAGAATATCATGCAGGCCAGGTTATAGTGTTAGATCAAGAAGGGCTGAGGCAGGAACAGTTTGTGTCTTCTCACTCTGGTAAGAATGGGTATCACATGGTGTAGAGCCCAGGGGAAACCTCCAGTCCTGTTCTGAGTTGAGCAGGCTAATGCCAGTGGCCTCTTCCTTTCATTTATCTGTGCAGGGCTGCCTATCTCAGGTCTTCCGACTTCACCTCCCAGGCCTTTGGTAAAGTTCCCATGATTCCTGGGGAAGGTCTTGCCATTCCCAGCCTGGGATCAGTGTCTGATCTGGTGAAGGTAGCCTGTGGGGCTTGGTTTCCTCCAGTTCCGGCGGATCCTGGCACTTGTCCTCCTGGAGTTCCAATGCTGCTCACTGGAGGCTGTCTCGGGGGAACTGCTCTGTGCATTGGCCAGTGGAGAGCAGGGCTCTGGGATTCTGCTGGGAGCAAAGGTACGATAAGTCAAGGAGGACAAGATGGGGGCTTCAGGAGATGTTCGTCACAATGGACTACAAAACACTGTTTAGAGCAAAATGAGACCGGAGTTCTTGTGACCTAGGCAATGAGGTGGATGACTAGAGAAATTGGGGAGATGCTATCTCAAGGTGAAGTTTCTACAACTTGTAACCCATGATGTCCTATAGTATATCCCCAGAACATTCTCTACTCCCACAGCTAAGGTCTTAACCAGTCTTACTTTTGATTGTAACCTATTTTACTATAGGTAAAAAGAATTATGAACTGTAATAATACTCCCTCCCACCTGGCCAAGAATCAAGGCAAAGCAAGGAGGTGCTGATTGGATCCAGGCACCCTCAGGAGTTCACAACAGTAACAGAAGTGGTTAGTGCCTGTCAGGTGGTGGCACTGTGTAGACATTAAAACCACTTAACAGGACTCATGGTACAGTGAAGCCAAGCAACTGGTTCTAGGTCATGCATCCAGAACATAGTGAGGCTGGCATCATTAGCACCCCTTCCCTCAGCCCTCCAGTCCCAGGTACCCACCTGAGCCTGCTGCAGTGGTGCAATGAGTGAGCCAGGGGTTTCTGCCTTGGGGGTCTCTTCCTGCGCAGCCTCCTTAGGGCCTCCACCACTCGGTGGTCCCCTGCACACTCCCAGATGATTTGGGCCCGCTCCTCGGCCAGATGGTCCCCACTGCGCTGAAACAGGCCCTGGATCTGCAGCAGGTCAGCATCCTGGAAGATGTTGGCTGAGGCCTGCTTACGACCCCGGGCCTCAATGGGGGCTTGCCAAGGGAGCGGCTCACTCACCACAGAGGCTGGGGTACCCATTGTGGGCACTCTAAGGATGGAAATCAGAAACATCAGTGTTGAAGAGGCTCTTTCCAAAGCTGGGGGCCTGATTAATGCCAGGGCTTCCAGTATTTCTGCTTTCCAGGATTCAAACAAGTAAGTCTTGCTGTAAAAATCACGCTTAATTTCCCAGGGCACCTTGGAGAAATGGTATTAAGGGTGCTATGTGACAAATACGATTATTATCTCATTTACTAGTGAGATAAGAATTACTTTTTATCCCCTTTAATGAAGTGTGTCTCAGGTTAGATGACTTGCTGTCAAGGCCATGGGTAAGCACAGAGCCAGGAGCACTTGAAGAGTACTCTCAATCCAGGGAAACACCAGGATGCCCAGTAACAGCTCAAATTTGTTGAGCACTTACCATTGTAACAGGCCCTGCTATAGAAGCTTTATTCCTATAACATTAATTAAGTATAATAAACACAGCAGCCCTCATTTCATCGAGGGGGAAATCTGAGGAACAGAGAAGTTATGGCACCCATGGTTGTGCAACTGGAACTAGATTTAGACATCTCTGATATGAAGGCCCAGATTATCACTCAGAGATAAAGAGAGAATGTGGAGCCTACCCTGACTGGAAACACACTTTACTACTTGCAGGCTGGTCCTCCAAGTAGTTTCAGCTGCTAGTACCAGTACTAACTTCGTAGGGATGATACAGAGACACAGCATTTAGAACTGTGCTCAGCGTTCTACCACAGGTTGACTATTCTTTATTTGAAATGCTTGAGATTTTGAGTTTTTCAAATTTTGAAATAATTACAGCTAAATAATGAAGTATCTTAGGAACAGAACCCAAGTCTAAACACACAATTCATTTGTTTCATATGTCTTACACATAAAGACTGAAGGTAATTTTATACAATATTTTAAATAATTTTGTGCATGTAATGGTTTCATGGTATGAAAGTTTTTACTGTGGAATCATGTCAACACTCAAAATCTTTTGGATTTGGGGGCAGACTTTCACATTGGGGTATTCAACCTGGATTCTGCTTTTCAAATTTTACAAATTGAAAATAAACATTCCACATCCTATTTTCAAGACCTGGGGCATGAACCAAGTCCATATAATTTAGCAAAAAGTATGTAACAGACCAATCAGATCTAACCATAATACAATGCACTGGGGGGGGGATGGGAACAGAAGAGAAGGCTGGAAAGGTCAGAATATACTGTTAAGGACAGAGATTGACTTAAGAGTTCAACACAGGTCAGGCTTTGTGTCAATGTCTCCCATCCAGGAAATGAAAATATCTTCCTAGATTCTGGGTATTTGACTTTGAATAATAATGAGGACATAAGAAGCTCCCCACCTTATCCTGTCTCCAGTACAGCCTGGAAAGGCTATGGGATTGGAAAACAGCTTGGAGACAGGAAAGACCAAGAACTTTGGCGTGACATAGGACTGGGTTTGAATCCCAGCCCTGCTACCTTCCTAGGTCTGTGACCTTAGGCAAGTTATTCAGTCTCTGAGCCTGTCCCTTAAATGTAAATACCCACTTCTCAGGATTGTAATAAGAATTAAATGAGTTTAGTATGGTATCAGGCACTCAATAAGAGCTAAATAAGTGGAAATTTCCTCTTTTTTGGCCTCCCTAATCTTTGTACCTGGGAGAGAGTTGTGATATGGATCCTCCATTTCCTCCAAGCCATGTGCCCAGAGCCAGCTAAGGACAGGTCTAAGTTCCCCTCCCAGCCCAGGCTTAACAGGGTAGGGATGACCAAGTCCTGGTCTTCCCCAGGGCCTGAGTGGCCCTCCTTCACAGCTGCCCACAGAAGAGGCTGTCAACCAGCAGCCAGCTGCAAAGGGGGAAAGTAAAGTAAAAATATATTCAAATAAAGCTATTTACATACTCAATGTAAAAGAGGCACACAGTACAGAATCACATAAATAAAAGCAATTCTAGTTTCCTACCCTCGACCCACTTGCAGAAGCAACCCTCATCCTAACCAGCCTTTTGTTCTCTTTCTCTAGAGAGTCTGAGTCATCTCTCCACCCCATTCAAACTCCCAGAATCATTACACCCTCCCTCCCCTGGCCTTCCCTCCACCTCACCTCAATAACCACCCTCATGACTCCAGTCATTTCCACACGCGCCCAGTCCCAATTTCTGTCTTAAGAACCCCATTCTCTTTTTGAAAAGATTTATTAACCAAAATAAACCCACAAAAGACATCCAGATAAATTAATTTCATAGAAATTATGTTTTTCCTAGAAAATGGGAACTGTAAAATCCTTAGGCACTATTATGGAAATCCAGTTAATAAGTGTGAGAATTAAGTCCCCAGAGCTGATGGTATTGAACACACTATGACAAGAAGACCAGAGTGACCAAGGAATACTTTCAGGTGATAGGAAAGCTAACAATGGGGTGTATGTTCAGTATCAAGCAAAGTGTACGTATCATTTAATCATCAACACAATCCTAGGAATTAGGCTAGACATTGTTATTTTCATCCCACTTCGCAGAGGAGCAAAAGGAAACAGAATTGTGAAGCAGTTGTTGAGCCAAGGCCTGAAGCTGTTCTGTGACTGCAACTCCTGATGTTAACCACAGCTGCCATATAGCCAAGCAGCTCAGAGCAATTTCTMCATGTTTCCATGAGAAGCACTTCACCATTCCTATAGAATTCACAAAGGGGAAGCCCTGCCAATAGGAAGGGAAGAACAATGAATTATCCCACAGGGTGGAGTCATAAAATTCAGCCTATTCACTGGTGTCAAGGCTGTTTACTGGATGAATCCCCCAGGTGCCCCCAGCCTTCAACCACAGCAGATGGCACTTTAGAGGAAATACCCGGCTTCCACCAAAGAAATGTAGAACCGCAACACAGATCAGCACACAAAGCACTGGCTTAGGAGTAAGAAGCCTGGGCTTCAGCCCTGGGTCTGTCTCACACCAGCTGAGGGACCTCAGGGGAATCGAGCCAGCTCTGAGGGCCTGCCCTGGTATTGAGAGTCAATGCTCCATGAGAAGGCTAGGTCTATATGGAAGCWGGATGACCCTGCTTGTCTGCCAGGGCCTAGGAGCAGAGGGTGTGGACAGGTCTGGCTAGTTAGGTGCCAGGAAACTCCCCAACTAGTAGCTCCCCCCCTCCCTCCTCAATCTCCTCTGGAGGCCAGATACTGTCTTGCTACAGCAGATTATGGGGTCAAGGTCTGGTGAAAGTCAGAACACACTATTCTAGAGCACCCTAATGACCAAGCCTAGGATGGACTACTAGGCTGGTCTAGGGTGGTAGAAGAGGTGATGTCCTTCCTCTGACTCAGTCACACCCCCACCCCCACACCTACCCTGGGAAAGAAGGCAACAGGATCAAGTAGCTGCAGCTGTTTGGGGGAGGAAATGGCTGGGGCCTGACTTCCCAGATAGTTCCAGCCAGAGGACTCCACAATTCTGTCAGGGCTGCAAGGCCTTGACTGGATGGCCTCCAGCCAGCTGAGTTACAAACCTACCAAGGAGAAACCATCTGGAGCCCGGTGTGGTGGCGCATGTCTGTGATACCAGCGGCTTCAGAGGCTGAGACAGAAGGATTGAGTTCAAAGCCAGCCTCAGCAATGACAAGAAGCTAAGCAACTCAGTGAGACCCTATCTCTAAATAAAACTCAAAATAAGGCTGGGAATGTGGTTCAATGGTCGGGTGCCCCTGAGTTCAATCCCTAGTACCAAAAAACAAAAAACAAAATAAAGAAAGAAGAAACCATCTGGGAGAGTCAGAGCCTCTAGCTTCAATACTCTCCATGAAACTTGGGAAGGGCTTGGCACCTCCAGATTTTGAAGCACCCTACTTTTGGCTCTGCCTCCCACCCAGGGATTCATACATTAGAATGAGGCTGAAAATAAAAATAGGGGTATTCCAGGTAGGATTAGATGGTAAACTTTGGGAAAACTGATGAAGGTGTGAATCAGAACACTTTTATTATCAGAAGAACGTTTCCTATCTCATTCAATGTGTTTAATAGTTACTTTCCCCCCAATTTCCTGGACAAGACCTTAATCCAGGAAGGTCAGTGTATACTTGAACAATGGTACTTTTTTAAAACTGGAAAATGAAACCATAGGGCTATTAAAAGACTACAAATAGATTTCTCATTTCAGAACAGACATAAGATAAATGTGGGGGTCTGTGACCAAATGAGTAAAGACTAATTGCAAAACACTTCAATTTGACACAACTGGGTTAAAAATGAACCCCCAAAGTAAGTATCAAAATGTTGAAAATCACAAAGTACTACTTGTTCTGAATCAGGCAATAAGAACTATAGAGCTCTAACAAAAATACATTTCACAAGTGACTCACCCAGCAATGAATTTGCAATATATAAATATGGTGCATAATTGAGCATTATTAGTTAACATATGAAAGTAGTTCCAACAGTTTTCCAGGTGAATATTTCTCTGGAGTCTCAGGGAGCTCACATGACCAAGAGAGGCAGAGCACACTTGGGTAAACTGGGCAACTCCTGGTTCCTACTCAAGTTTCTCTCTTTTGAATAACCCTGGTGATAGCAATAATCTCTAATCAGAGGCCAAAGGCCTCTTAGAAAAATAACTGGAGGCTCTGGCCCAATGCCAGAATCAACACTTATGGCCCTTGCCTGGTACCCTGCACAGACATGCCACTGGACAGCAGCCAAAATCTGCTCTGGGAAGCTGAGTCAAATGGCTGTGTGGGCTCCAGACCCCACTGGGTCTCCAAATATATTCCCCAGGAGGTAGATGAAGAAACTGGCTCTTTCCTCAGACCAATTCTCGGACATGACCTGGAAATAAACTACTAGGTCTAGGAATAACTTTAAGAGTTCAGGAACTCTGAATTCTTGCTGTGCCATGGATAACTGGATAACCTTGTATAAATCTCACTTTTCTCCTGCTTCAGTTTGCTCATCTTCAAAATGGTGAGAAATAGAATCCTTAATGGGAAAAGGGAGATGAAGTATTTGAGAGCTTTCATTCTAGTACCATCCATACAACAGGCGTTCCATTCTGCATGTTGGTTGAATGAATGATGTAAGGGGAAGATTACAAACTGACTGGATTATAGAATCACAGTTATCTCTTCATCATCACCAACAACAAACTCCTAGAGAGGCCTCCACTCTTAGGAGAAGAGGATGAAGGGAGACAAATTCTTCTGTGTATTTTTAAGTCATACTTTTTGATTAAATTCATAGAGGCAGTTTTGTTTCAAGTGTAGAACAGAGCACTTTCAGAGGGACTTTCTAACCCTCACCTGAGGTGGCATTATCACTGTCCTCTACTGTGGAGATACCATTGTCAAACCCATCTTGCAGGTGAGAAAATCGAGCTCAGAAAGATTAAGTAACTTGCCCAAATTCACAGAGCTGGTTGGGATATGAACCCAGGTGGTCTGACCCACACTCTCAACCGTTGTTATTCTTGTTACTGCCAGACGGCCGAGAAGGTCTTCAGAGAAAGAAGGATCCAGAAAATTCTGAAATCTCTCAGAGCCTACTGTCTGCTTCTGCGGATTTTGCAAGTCGCGGCAATCCAAAATCAGGACTACCAAGTAAAGCTCTACCGCCCCATGGGGAGTTCGAGAGGTTACTCAGTACGCTGAAGGGCAATTCCGACGGATCTCAAATCGAGGTGGGGCAAACTAAGCTGCACCCACCCCAACCATTCCACGGCCTTTCGAAAGAGCGGGTGCAGCTCTAGATTTCCTGCGGAGGAGGTGCTTGCAAGGACCAGGCGACGTTCACAGGCAGGACAGAGCGTGGGAGAGAGTATTCTGGCTGAGATCACTCAGCGATATCCCCAGCATGGGTCGGTGATCGAGGCTAAAGAGTGACTACTCCGCAAAACGACAGGGCCCTAAGTGCGTTTGGGGTGCGCGTCCCAGCGGTTCCCAGTCTCCGTCCACCCGCCCGTTCCCACCGCGGAGCCAAGTCGTACCGCCAAACTACGTACCTGGTTGCCTGAAGCGGGCCGCACGCAGCCMGGAGCTGGCCCGGGCCACCTCGGTCACAGTCAGGTTCCCCAGAGAAAGCGCTCCAGAGCCCCGGAACAGCCAATCCACGGCCCCAGCCTTGCTATGAGCTCCGGGGCTAGCCTTCCAAAAGCGAACGCGGAGACTCTACCCGCCAATCAACGGTGGCAGRGTGCAAGGGGCGTGGCCGGCTCTGCCCCCTTTCCTTCTCGGGTCTTGACAATTGAGTGCGGAGATTCCTTGAGTCCAATCAGCAGCCGAGCAGCAGCGTGGGGGTGTGTCCTCGCGGGCCCTTCGCTCCTCCCCGGCCGCCCGCGCGCCTTGCCTGGAGGCGCCCCCTTCATTGACGTCAGTCCCCCGGGCCAGCGCGGTTTTGCTGGCGCGAGAGCCGGGCGGGGCTGCATTCCTGCCCCCGGGTGCGGCAGCCGCTGGCCCAGCAGGGTACACGTGACGGATGCCCCTTTTCTTGGGCCGAGGCCAATGCGCGCGGCGCCCAGTTYCTGGATGCGTGTGCCCGTTGCAGAACCTTTATATTCGGCAGCTCCTAAAACCTCCCGCCTCCCAGCCCACCTTCTGGCTCCAGCTTTGAGGTAGAGGAGGTGAAGTCCCTGCAGCAGTCAGAATGGTCTTCAAAGCAAGAACGTCAAGTGGGGCTTGAATGTTGGGTCAACCCTGAGACTTTGGGCCAGTTACCCAATCGAGACAGTACTTAAAATTTGTATTTGTTCGACTTTGTTCATTAGCTACAGGAAATAACAACTATATAGCCTTGGGGTGTTTACAGCCTAGTAGGGGAGGCAAACACCTAAAGCATTTAACTGTGATTACGATTGTGATAAACATTTTATGCTGTGAGGGGCATGGAGGTACCTAAGTTTCCTCTGGGAAGTCCTGGAAGGCAGAAGATGTAACTTTCAAGGGAGTTAGGAAGGAGTTGAAATTGTTAGAATGACAAGGAATGGGTCTGGGGAGAGCGTTTAAGGAAGAGGCAAGAGCACATGCCAGGGCCAAGACATACCTTTGCTGGGGAGAAATGAAAAGAGGCCTGGGGTAGTGCCAGCAAGGCGATTCCCTTCCCTGTGGGAAGCAGATGGCAGAGGCAGGCATCTGATCCTCAGGTCAGGGAATAGCATGATGCATATGTACTATGTGCAAGTAATGCACTTTACAAATATTAACTCATTTTATCCTGGTGACAAATTTGTGTTTTTAGAAGGCGCAGCTTGGAACTTGGAGAGGGCAGGAGTGGGTGCAGAGTATCCATTAGGCTATTGGCAAATTGTTGTTTTCTTCCTTGGATGATGAGGGGTTGTTTGTGTACTTGTCCAGAAATAGTCAGGAAGGATGGCTGTATATAGGCAGCGAGGTCTCCCTGACTTCTTTTTCACAACAAAGCTGACCTCATAAATTTAATCTCTTCTGTAAAAGTTCCAAGCGGGGAGATTACAAGGCACCACACTGAAATTAGTGGGTTCCATTTTGAAAGGTAAGGGAGTGTTTTGAAGCTGTTCTTCCTCATCCCATGGTCTACATTCTTCATTCCATCCCTCTGCATAAAAGCAGTAACACCAAATGTTATGCTCTAAAAAGATGCTTTTCCTTAAGCCCTAGGGAAATGATGAAAATAACAAAGAAATCATTAATGTTATCTCCAATGGAAGGTATTGCTGCAAAACCCCTCCCACCAACTGCCTGCCTAAAGATGGGCTGTGCATGCTCTTAAACCAAAAACCAAGCATCTGAGCCAGGGACTCATCTAGCCCACTCTAGGCAAYAGGAGAGCCAAATTCAGCATAGCAGTGCTTGGAAAATCTAGGAACTCTATGAGCTATGAGCCAGATGAACATACCTAGGGAGGAATCAGGAACTTGTGGTTTCTGGGTCAGATGTGACTAAGGCTGGGTGGATAATATCTGGTGTCTCCAAACATTTTGCAGCCATGTGACTGTGCTTATCACACAGTGGAACCATTTCCATTGTTATAGCTTTATGATTCAATATTTCTGTTCAGAWCGTGGAGCCACTGCCATGGTTGAGTGGGTCACAGGAGACTTGATCATGAGTGGGGTCATCTGGCACCCATAGGAGAGTGCTGAAGACAAAAACCACCAATAAACAGGACCTATTTTTAGAAGGTTGACTCTGGGGAACATTACCTGGTGTCATTCAGGCCAAGATCTGGTTTTACCTAGGACCCAGATTAAGTCAGCAAGGAATTCTCCTCTGCACAAAATCTAAAAGGGCACCAAAGAATTCATAATAAGATATATAACATCTCAATGCAGTATTTTTAAAACTTAAAATTAATGCAAAATATCCATGATGAACAAAATATTGAAGTTTAAAATAAAGACAGGCTATTGTTTGTTTTATATCTCTGCACTATTTTGTAATGGGAATAGTCATTTCCTATCAGCCCACAGGTCCCAGGCAGACTGCCATCGCAGTGGCTTTATGAGGACTGACAATAGCACATGAACAGATTGGGCAACATGGGACTTTAAATGAAGTCATGTTTTTTGATTGCAGTGTTTTTATCCACTTTTTTTTTTCCATTTGGTTCAAAATATGGAAGGGTATTTGGATAAGCACATATTTTTCCTTTTGTCTCAGGCTCCAAAATGGTTCAACTCAGAACTGTTTTTAACCTCAAGGAAATTAAAATCCAAAACACAGGTTCTGTCTGTTCAAGTGACTTAAACTTTCTGCCTTTCAACTTCTCATCTTTAAAATGAGAATAATCATGCTTACAGACATAGCTCAGTGGTAAAGTATATGCTTGGCATGCACAAGGCCCTGGATTCAGTATCCAGCACTGCAAAAAATATATATAAATAAAATGGGAATAGTCCTATCTACTTCTCAGTGTTACTGTGAGGACACAGTAAGATATTAAATAAAGGCTGAGTGCTTCAACTAACAATGGATAGAAAATATTAGAAAAAAAAATTGTTTCAGACAATTTAGGAAAAAAAAACGTATGGACTTTTTTCTTGTCATTATTCCCTAAAAAGTATAGTATAACATAATTTACAGAGCATTAGCTATTYTAAGTAGTCTAGAGATGATTTAAACTATACAGGAGGCTGGGTTTGGTGGTCCATGCCTGTAATCCCAGTGACTCAGGAAGTTAAGGCTGAAAGATACCAAGTTTGAGGTCAGCCTTAGCAACTAAGCAAGGACCTAAGCAACTTAGCAAGACTGTCTCAAAATATAAAATAATCTCTAATACCAAAAAATAAATAAATGAATGCATAAAAATAAAGGATGTATGCAGGTTCTATGCCAATACTATGTGTGTTATTCAGCTTTTTGTCACTGTGACTAAAACACATAACAAGAACAACATAGAGAAGAAAAAGTTCATTTTGGCTCATGGTTTCAGAAATTCAGTCTATGATTGGCCAATTCCATTGCTGTGGGCCCAAGGCGAGGCAGAATATCCTGGTAGAAGGGCATGGTGAAGAAAAGCTGCTCACCTCATGGTGGCCAGGAAGCAGAGATAGAGGCACCAGGGACAAATTATAAACTCCAAAGGCATGCCCCAGTCACCCACCTCCTCCATTCATGCCCCACTTGGTTACAGTTACTACCCAGTAATCCATTCTTATTATTAACCCATCAAATGGAATAATTCACTGATTAGGCTATAGCTCATAATCTAACGTTTCAGTTTTAGCTCCTTCATTAATACAGGAGCTTTGGGGGGGATAATACCTCATATCCCAGTCATAATGCTATACCATTTTATACAAGGGACTTGACCATCCACAGATTTTGATATCTGAGGGCGGGGCTTCCTAGAACCCATCCCCCTGTGGATGCTGGGAGACGGCTGTACCTTCTATACTAAGTAAGTACTGGATTCTTTCCCTTTCCCTATCCTCCAGGAGCTGTTCACATAGCTGGACAGGTGTGGTCCTCCAGTGACTGAGACTGATTCACATGGGTTTCTTCTTCCCTACCCACTCTCTCTTCACCCCCTCTCTTTTATTGGTACTGGGAATTGAACTCAGGGGCCCTTAACCACTGGGCCATACCCAGTTGTATTTTATTTAGACACAGGGTCTCAGTTGCCAAGTGCCTCATAAGTTGCTGAGGCTGGCTTTGAACTCCAGATTCTCCCACCTCAGCCTCCAGAGCCACTGGGATTATAGGTGTGCATCACCGTGCCCAAATTTGCATGGGTTTTTTTTTTGCCATATGTCCTGTTCTAGAGAGAGCAGGGAGAACTTTCACACTCAACTGACAAGCAAATGGTGAGTTGACTTTGATTTTCCTTGATAAATGATTCTAGACATTCTAAGCCTGCATATATATATATATATATATATATATATATATATTTGTATTGGGACATAATACTTTTATTCTATTTATTTATTTTTATGTGGTGCTAAGGATCGAACTCAGTGCCTCGCACATGCTAGGTGAGTGCTCTACCACTGAGCCACAAACCCAGCCCCTCTAAGCTCTTTTTAAAAACACCCTTCTGTTTATGATATTACACAAGGCAACTTTGATGACAGTCCTTTTGTCTGAAAGTACAACCTGGACAAGCCAAAAAATAACAAAGCCCCACAAGCAAATGGTACATTATATATATGTCATTCAGTTGAGCATGGTTGCACACACCTATAATCCCAGCTACATGAGAAGCTTAGGAAGGAGAACCTCAAATTTGAGGCCAGCCTGGGGAACTTAGTGAGACCCAGTCTCAAAATAAAAAATAAAAGAGGTGGGCTGGGGTTATGGCTCAGTGGTAGAGCATTCACCTAGCAAATGCAAGGCCCTGAGTTCGATCCTCAGCACCACATAAAAATAAATAAACAAAGGTATTGTGTCCAACTATAACTAAAAAAATAAAATATTAAAAAAAGTAAATAAAAAAATAAAAGATCTGGGGCTGTAGCTCAGGAGTAGATCACTCCTGGGTTCAGTCCCCAGTACCCCAAACACCATTCATATAGATTAGAACAAAGGTGATATTGTATTAATATGCTTGGGCTGCTATAACAAAATGCCAAAGACCAAGCAGCCTGGATGAGAGAAATTTATTTTCTCACAGTTCTGGAGGCTGGAAAATCCAAGATCAAGATGTCAGGGAAAGTGGGCCAGGTGGCACATGCATGTAATCCCAGCACCCCTAGAGG